ATTACATCAATTGTCACGTATTTAATGAGATGCTGTTGTCACAAACTGGTCTTCTAAACTACATAAGGCCATGTCATGAAATTAACAGTGCATTTTAAAAAGAACAACAACATCCTCCTTTCTAGCTGATAATGTACAATTAAGATTCACAGAAATTATCTGAAACTTTGGTTTGGTGGTCTGTAATGTCACCTGGACACCCTCCCCCTCCTCACTATGACTGCTCATGTTTATTGTGTCATGATTTTAACATAATATTTTCAAATTCTGTGGGGCCTGGAAAATAAGGGGAAAAGACAAACCCCTGAAGAATCTACATGGAGCTATGGTCTCTGTGTAGGAGAATGATTTGAGTCTACAGAGATTCCATGAGGGAGAATTCATCACATTCCTTACACTCATCTCTCATATAAAAAAGGTAGCCCCAGTGATTAACTGTGTCCTAAATGGTGCTGTGCAGAAGTTATGCTCTCACCTGTGTCAGTTATAATGATGTGATTTGATTTGATTTATTATTGTCACTTGTGCGTAGGTATAGTGAACGTTTTGTTTTGTGTGCAATACAGTTATAGATCATACCATGCAAAGTGCATAGGGGTAACAGAACAGAGCGAGGAATACAATGTTACGGCTGCAGAGAAGCTGAAGGTCTGAGCTATTTTTGCAAACAGGCAATATAAAAATTCTTTTAAAAAATTGCATCGTGAATATTCAGTGAGAACAGCTGCTGCTGGTGACCAACAGGCGATCTGCTCAAGGGACAGGCTGTTCCAAGATCTCATCTTGCCTGGAAGTTGCCCAACGTAAGAACAATGCCCCTCCTTCAGAACCGGGTCAGGGGAGAACAGTGAAGGTGTGTTTTCAACTTTTCTCCAAAGCCAGAGCTTTGTTGAGCGCAGAACATCCTGGAGAATCTAATCCCCTAGGTGTTGTTAATATGAGCTGGGAAAAGAAGAGCTACAGACCAGATGTACAGTGCCATTAACTCCCTTCACTATTTGAACTCTGACTTATGGCCTGTAATGTGGCAGGCGACAGCTATGCAAAATGCAGATAATCTGACTGGATACTTAGATTTGAAATCTCCAACCAAGCTGAAACTGAAATTCTGTCTCTTGATGACTGTTGAATTAATTGGCATTAATTTGGGGAGTGGGACCATTCTTGTTTCACACATCTCACATCTCCGTCAAACACAGCCAGCCCAGAGGTAATACAGCCAAATGCATCCTAAAATGTTGCCCCAACAACATACCTTAACCCAAACTTCAGAAAACTCTTCCCCATGGCACTGAACTTCTCATTTCTAATTCCAGCTATTACACCTGTCTAAGACTGTCATTTGAAATTAGGTTTTGGGCTTCTTCAATATAGGGGATTGTTAATCCAGAGACCTAGGTAATGTTCTGGAAACCTGGGTTCGAATCCCGCCATGGCAGATAGTGGTATTTGAGTTCAATAAAAATCTGGAATTAAGAGTCCAATGATGACCATTAATCCAACGTTGACTGTCAGAAATGTTTCACTAATGTCCCTTAGGGAAGGAAACTGCCATCCTTACCTGGTCTGGCCTACATGTGACTCCAGACCCACAGCAATGTGATTGACTCTGAACTGCCCTCTAGGCAATCTGGAATGGGCAGTAAGTACTGGCCTAGCCAGTGACACCCTCATCCCGAGAAGGAGTTTAAAAAAAGGTTGAACTCTGACCTCTGGGCAGTAACTTGGCAGAAAGGAAATATGTGCCAACTCAAATTTGAGCCATTTACTGAAACCGAACCAGCAAATCAATATCAGGCAACCCTCAAGGTAAAAATGGCTTCTTCCTCTTCTTCCCCTCAGCTCCAATCCAATTGTTTGTCCTCTTGTTGTAAATGTGTTAAACGTTTGAAGTACAATCCTGTAGTCATTGGAACCAGGTGGATCTTATTGACTATGAGATCCTTGATTGGGATTGTTAACCTGTGCCAATCAAGGAGTCCTGGCTGACAGATATGAACAGGGGATTCAGGGAGTCTCCTGACTTCCGGAACCGACTCCGAGCTGGCATGTCACATGGTGCAAATGTAAATAAAGGGTGACTTGGTGACGGGACACTGGCTTCTGTGTAATTATTTCAGATCCCCAATCGGATAGCTCTGAATTCTCCACAAACTAAGATTAATCTGTAGGGTGTTCCTGGGGGCAAACATCAGGGGAAAATCATGAGAGATTAAAACGTGGGTGCAGCATTTTATTGATATGAAGAATCCTAAATATCCTAATCCTTATTGTTACTGGAGATGGGGGCAAAGGGGAGAAAGGTCAAGAGTTAGCCAATTGAATAATGGACATTTCGGCTTTCTGGTGGGTGTGAGATGGTGAAACCCTGTTCATGTGGTCACATCAGTTGACCAGGGTGGGAAGGGAAGGGTAAAGCAGAAACCTGTAGTTCTCACAGAATCATCCATAATCCTTGAACTCACCCTAATATCAACTTTTTACGTGCAATCCCGAGTACAGAATGCACATAGAACTTCCGACTCTGTCAATGTGGAATCTAGCAGGGTACCTAACTTGATGTCTATCCATCTATTCCCTGTTGAGGTCTTCAAATATGGATCATACAAATAAATTATGTTTAGACAGCGTCTTTAACCTGAGGACCTCCCAAAGTGTTTTACAGCCAATTAAGTGCTTTTTGAAGTGTAGCCATTGTTGTAATGTTAGAAATCAGGATTAGAAACACTGACTTTTTCTCCCCCTCCCTAGCCTGAGGATGTTAAGACTAGTTGCAGTATCCTGACTGCCAAAGATTTCAGTTAACTCATAAGGGACCAGTAAGCACTGTTCCAGTCAGCGTGGCTTAGTAACCCATTGGGCAATGCATTTACTTCAGATTTTAGATTTAGGTTTTAATGTCACCTGTATTCGGGTTAAATTCGTGGCTGGAAGCCTGCAGGGTTAGGCAGTATTGGGACTGAATCCATGACCTTGGCATTAACAGCACTATGTTCTAACCATCTGAGTTAACCAACCAAAGTATACTAGCTAAACAATGCGGATGGTAGAAATCTGAAATGAAAACAAAAACTGCTGGAGAAACACAGCAGGTATTGCAGCACCTGTGGAGAGAGAAATAAAGTTAACTTTTTGAGTCCAATGATTCTTCTTCACCAGACTTGAAATTATCATAGAATCCCTACAGTGTGGAACCAGGCCCTTTGGCCCAACAAGTCCACACCGACACATTCCCCTATAACCCACCTTATCTACACATCCCTGAACACTATGGGCAATTTAGCATGGCCAATTCACCTAGCCTACACATCTTTGGACTGTGGGAGGAAACCCACATAGACACAGGGAGAGAGTGCAAACTCCACACAGGTTTGTTTCTCTCTCCACAGATGCTGCCAGACTTTCTGAGTTCCTCCAGCATTTTCTGCATTTACTCCATTTGGAAAGGCCCTTCATAAAGTCAATAAAAACTGAGTGTGCTGTTCAATACTGAGCAATTTTGGTGGCATGTGTGAAAGACAGAGAAAAAGAGAGAGAGAGATACAGAAACAGTAAACATTTCAGGTCAATGAGCTTTGATCAGAAGTCCTGCTGTGAGGTCACAGAAACGTCAACTCTGTTTTACTCTCCGCAGATGCTGCCTGATGTGCTGAGTATTTCCAGAATTTTCCGGGTTTTATTCCAGTTTTCTAGCTTCCAGAGTATTTTACTTGAATGAGGTGACACATTACACCACAGTGAAAGAAAAACATACAGCATCTTCCTACAATCTCCTCTCCCACTAAGTCTTTTCTTACTCCCTGCAGGAGTCGGGTGGAAGCAACGGAATAGAGTGGCCTATTAGAAATCAAACCATATACGGTAAGAAACAGTTTCCCAGCGAGGGTTGGGCACAGGCCATCCACATGTCCGGCACATTTGACAAAATATGGATTGTCTGGAATCTACGACTTAACCAAAAACTGGAAGCCTGTGGCTCCTGGCTGTGATACCGTATGATTTCACTCTGAGCTGCACACATTCTGCACAGCACGCAACCTTTAAACAAAACATAAAAGACAAAGAGTACATCTGTCCACAGTGCCTTCACGGAGCACTCCACCAAACTAGAAATATGTGCAAAATCCAGGATTTACTCAGGCTTCCTCAGTGGGCCTGGGTTGAGGGGTGTGTGTGTGTGTGTGTGTTTGGGGGGGGGGTGCGTGTTGGTGGTTGACTGTCACAACTGTTGGTTCTATTCATTAAACACTCTGGAGTTTGCTGTCATATCCAGCAAAGTTATAGCCCAGTAAGTTATAGTCAGTTGTAAACAGTGCAACTACACGTGGCGTTGGCCCTTCATACATAGGAAGCGACTGGCCCACCAGGAGGAGTTATCTTTATCTGCGCAGCTTTCTTTATTATTAGTAAACGTTAGTTGCTGAGTTACCATTCACCACACAAAGTGGAGGAAGTTTTCAAACTAAACCACAATATATACAGATGTCTATCAAAAGAACTAACTGTCTTTGTTCTAGGGTACTCGCATTCTTGTTAGGATTTGCGCTAACCTGGAATAAATTAAATCTCTGCAAAAATACAACTTCAAAGCAAATGGTACAAAACTTGACGCAAGACACGGGCTGATAGAGTTGATTTTTAAAATCTGTTTTCTTTACGCTGGACTTTGCTAATACATCCTTGATCGTGAACAGAAAAGAAATTTTATTTTCCATCAGCTCGAGAATGGCTGGAAATATTTTTCTTCACTTTATGGTTAGTGTGTTGGAAATCATTGTATTTTCTGAAAAATAAAAGCTGTGATACCGGTGTGGCTAGAGTATCATGAGCAGGGCATCATTTACACTGCAGGACAGGCATACAGCGCTCAAAGGGTTAACACTGATAATCAGAACCGCACTCTTTTCAAAGCCACTTTCCTCCAGAAACTACGCTCCTGCACTGAGCTTCCTGATCTGTGGGATAAAAGAATGAAAAGGAGGAAGTCCAACGGTACTTACTGTCCACGGGGTTGATGTAATCTGTGATGTGCGTCGTACTGCCTGTTCCACCGGTCTGCATCAGGATGTCACCATACGGGCTTCGATGAGTGGCCATTAGAGTCATTTGATGATAGTATTCAGCTGGATTAGCTCCTGGTGGGGGAGGAGGCAGGCTAAACAGACCTCTGTCCTTCAAGTGCTCATGAGGAACTGCAGGGCAGAAAACAAGATACCCGTTCCTAAACTTGCAAAAAAAACCTTTGTGATTTTCTGCACTGACGTCAGACATCCCTCTGCTACCCAGATGGAAGCTATCCCTGCTGCTCAGTGACGGTAGTTTGGGCGTGTTTGTGTAGAACAGAGCTCAGCGAGCTGGGGCCTCCACATTCCAGTGTTTCCTCAAACTCATAAACAAACCCTGGCTGCATCGAATGACTTCAGGCATGAAGAGACAGAGAGAGAGAGAAAATAAATCACAGCAGTAAAGGTATGAACACTTAGAATCATGGCCACTCCACGTCTCAAGTCAGTAAGCGTGACTTTTATTCCTCAAAAGCAGACTCGTGCAGTCCCAGCTATACTCATTCACACATGTCCACTCAGATCCTTCCCCAGGTATACCCTAATACAGTGCTGGGTGCATGCACACAATGTACATTTGTTCCGAAAACCTACTGGTTGAATTTATCCAGTTTAGATATGAAGCTAAGTCGTTAAGCCCCCGGACTGGAGTAACTTTCTGACAGAACCTCCACCTTCAACAAGACACAACAGGATTCCAATGTTTTCATTCATTTAGAGAAACTTGAGAGTTCCGGTGCGCCTGCTTCATTTCTCTTCATGTAGCAAGACAATCTTAACCCTTACATTATTGACTGCCTGATCATACTTTAATTGTGCAGACCAAGATAATGATTTAACCTCACTGTTGCATTATCAATGGAGCAATAACTAGCACTAGAAACTTCAGAAAATCGTGTTACAGATACACATTTTGAATATTACACCGATCACTCAATATTCAAGGGGTTAGATTTCACTTTCTTTCCTGAATCAAAGTAGCCTTTGTGAGCCTAAAGCAAATTATTTCCTACTCAGCTTATTTTGTCACAATTTTCTGACCTGTGTTTATTATTAACATTTAGACTTTAAGTACGTATCTTATGTAACTAATGACCTGTTATCAACTTTGCACCTCTATGTAATAAAAGCTTCAAATTAATATTTTGGGAGATCTCTGCTTGCAGTTCCATTTTATTGCAATTACCCATGACACAAAATGATTGTTAAACTTTTGCCTCTGTTTAATGCAATAAATGCTCCTGTGTGCGCAAACATCTAAGAATGCTCTTTCACTGAACTATCAAAGTTTTACAATGATTACTTAGGGAACAGGATTTAGACAGAAAGGAGAATAAAGCCCTGATTTGCTGTTTGCATCCATGCATCTCGTCAAAGTCAGGAGCCAAAATATACTAAAACAGAACAAATCTTGATGACTGTAAAGTGACCATCATTTTAGTTCATACCTGACACACCAAATTAAATCAGCTCTATAAATAACACCTGATGCTGCCTTTTAAGATACACGTACTTTGGAGAGGACATCTTGAGAAGTCATTAACATCATGTGATACTGTCCTTCCCTTAGTTTGCCTGTTTGTCAAACCCTCTTTCTATGGTTTTGTTTTCCCCCTGGACAGTCCTGGTTACCGTTCCATGTTTTGCTTTCCACAAAGTTAGATTTCATCTAAGCCTTTGCTGCCTTTTTGTTTTATTCACTCATGGGATGTGGGCACCACTGGTTGGGCCAGGATTTATTGCCCATCCCTAACTGCCCTTGAGTAGGACATGGTCGAACTGCTGCAATCCATTTGGTGTAGGTACCATCACAGTGCCATGAAGAAGGGAATTCCAGGAATTTGACCTATTGACAGTGAAGAAACAGCAATATACTTCCACGTCAGGATGGTGAGTAACTTGGAGGTGAACTTATGGGAGGTGGTACTTTTGGCGGCTGCAGAAACACCTGTTTCCCTTACAATTCAATGCCCTTCCACTAATAACCCTGCCAATCTTCCTCTTTCCCCCTTATGCAGCAGACCAACCCTGGTACCATGGAATTGGCTGCTATTGCTTTCCCCTGCACAGTATCCACAATGGTAGAACTGTTCAAAAGGAGGACGGCCATAGGGGACTCCTGCGATACCTGCCTTCCTCTACGCTGCCTGGTGGTCACCCATGCCCTCACTGCCTGTTCAGTCTTCACCTGTGGTGCGACATGTGACCACCTCAGTGAATGTGCTGTCCATGAGATGCTCAGTATTGCGAATGGCACTCCGCAGTAAATTTACCCACAGATCCAGCTCCAGCTCCAAAATGTGATTAGTCAGCAGCTGCAGCTGGATACACTTCCACTCGGGAGATCTGAAACGTCCACGATTTTCATAGCACAGGAGGAGCATATCATGAGTGTCAGGTCTGTAGCCATGACTTCCTTCAAGTCCCTTAGTTATTTTTTTTTCAAAATAAGTTACTAATTATACATGTATAAGAATATTAACTTACTTTCCTTATACTACCTGTACTTCCCTTGCCCTACTTTGCTTACTTATATTACTTTTTTATATTGGTCCTAACATGTACATATTCTTCTTGTTTCTCATTTACTCCCTTCTTCCAAAAAAAATACACTTTGTAAAATCATGAAGCAATCAACACATCACTTTCCTGTGATGTCACTGTTTGATTTGTTTTCTCACTCAAAAAAATGAAGCAAAAACCACTCAGAAGTTGCAAGATCTGCAGATGCTGGAGTCAGAGACAACACAGTGCTGGATGCTGGATGAACACAGCAGGCCAGGCAGCATCAGAGGAGCAGGAAAGTTGACGTTTTGGGTCGGAACCCTTCTTCAGAAATGGGAAGGGAGCTGGGAAACAAATGGAGTGAGGAGGGGTGTGGCTGGGGAAGATAGGTGAGATGGTGATAGGTGAATGCAGGTAGGGAGTGGTGGGGATTGGTCAGTGGGATGGGTGGGGCAGATGGATGGCAGAAAAGATGGACAGGTTGTGTCAGGTCAAGGAGGCGGGGATGAGTGGGAGGGTTGGACATGGGATGGGGGTGGGGAGACTTTAAAACTGGTGAATTCCATGTTTAGGACATTGGGCTGTAGGCTCCCAAGGTGGAATATGACATGTTGCTCCTCCAGTTTGCAGGTGGCGTCATTGTGACACTGGAAGAGGCCAAGGATGGACATGTCACCAGGGAGTGGGATGGGGAGTTAAAATGGTTGGCGATCGGAGGTATTGTCGTTTGTTGTGTACAGAGCGCAGATGCTCTATGAAGCAGTCTCTGAGTCTACGCTTGGTCTCACCGATGTAGAGGAGGCCACATTGGGAGCAGCGGATACAGTAGACCAAGTTGGCGGATGTGCAGGTGAACCCCTGTCTGATATGTAAGGTTTGTTTTTGGGCCTTGAATGAAGGTGACGGGGAGATGTAGGGGCAGGTGTAGTACTTCCTGCGGTTGCAGGGAAAGGTGCCGGGGGTGATGGGTTTAGTGGGGATTATAGAGCAGACAAGGGAGTCGTGGAAACAGCAGTCCATACGAAAGACATATAGGGGTGGGGAGGGAAATATCTCTGGTCGTGGGGTCAGATTGTAGGTGACGGAAGTGGCGGAGAATGTTATGCTGGATGCGGAGGTTGGTGGGGTGATATGTGAGGACCAGGGGTATGCTGTCTTTATTTTTGTTGGGGGTAGGGGGTTTGAGGGCAGAAGTGTGGGAAATGCAAGAGATGTGGTTGAGGGCATTTTTGACCACTGGAGGGGGATGTTGTGGTATTTGAAATAGGAGGATATCTGGGACGTCTGGAAGTGGAATGCTCCATCTTGGGAGCAGACGCGGCGGAGATGGAGGAATTGGGATTTTGGGATTGCATTCTTGCAGGAGGATGGGTGAGAGGAGGTGTAGTCCAAGTAGCTGTGAGAGTCGGTGGGCTTGAAATAGATATCAGTTTCGAGGTGGTTACCAGAGACGGGGATGGAGAGGCCCAGGAAGGAAAGAGAGGTATCAGAGATGGTCCAGGTGAATTTGAGGTTGGGGAGAAAGGTGTTAGTAAAGTTGATGAACTGTTCAAGCTCCTCGTGGGAGCACAAGGCAATGTAGTGGAGGAAGAGGTGGGGGATAGTGCCAGTGTAACAGTGGAAAAGGGACTGTTCCACATATTGTGCAAAGAACAAAAACCACCTCTTTCCCTCTGCACCAAATTTCTATGGTGCTCCAAATTCCCAGAAACAGACACACTTCCACCCTGGTTATTTTCTCTTCCACCCTCTTCCATCAGGCAGAAGATGCAAAAGTTTGAAAACACATGCCAACAGATTTAGGAACAACTTTTTCCCTGCTGTTATCAGACTTATGAATGGACCTCTCATATATTAGAATTGATCTTTCTCTGCAGCTGTAACGCCATATTCTGCATTCTGTTCTATTGCCCTGGTGTACTTACATAGGTATGATTTGTCTGGTTAGCACGTAAAACAATACTGTATCTCTGTACATATGACAATAATAAATCAAAATCAAAAAGTCACTCAGGCTGTGCCTCACTCTGTTTCAACTGCTTGCATGATGTTTACTCCCATGGATGGTGTGAAGCTTCTTGTGTTATTGGGAATGCACACATCCCAGTAAGTAGGCAGCATTCCGTTAAGTTCCTGACTTGTGGCTTTAGATGGTGGACAGGATTTGGGGAGTCAGGAGGTGAGTTATTCATTGCACCATTCCAAGCTTTGACCAGCTCCTGTAGCTACAGTATTTATATGGTTCATCCAGTTGAGTTTCTGGTCAATAGTAACCCCCCAGGAGGTTGTTAATGGAGAATTCAGTGATGGTGATGCCACTGAATATCAGTGGGCAATGGTTAGAATCTGTCTTGTTGGAGATGGTCATTGCTTGGCACTTATGTGGCATGAATGTTGCTTTTTAGTGCAAGTGTGGATATTGTTCAGGTCTTGCTGCATTATGCTTAACATTGTGCAATCATCGAACATCTCAACTTGTGACCTAATGATGGAAGGAAGGTCATTGGTACAACAGCTGAAGACCTTTGCATAGATGTCCTTGGGCTGAGATGAATGACCTCTAACAGCCACAGACTTATTTATTTGTCCTAGATATCACTCTAACAAGCGGAGAGTTTTCCCATGATTCCAAATGATTCCAGTTCTGCTACTGCTCCTTGATGCCACACTCAGTCGAATGCAGTCTTGATGCGAAGGACTGTGACTCTCACGTCACCTCTGGCATTCAGCCCTTTTGTCTATGTTTGAACCAAGGCTGTAATGAGATCAGGAGCTGAGTGGCCCTGGCAGAACCCAAATTATGTGTCACTGAGCAGGTTATTGCTGAGCAGGTGCTGCTTGACAGCACTTTTGAGACCATTTCCATCACTTTACTGATGATGAAATTGCAAATGCAATGTTAGCATTCATTTCAAGAAGGCTAGAATACAAGAGCAGGAATGTTCTACAAGGGTATTTAGAATATTACCAGCAGTTTTGGGCCCCGTATCTAAGGGAGAATGTGTTGGTATTGGAGGGTGTTCAGAGAGTTTCACAAGAATGATCCCAGAAACGAAGGGCTTGACATATGAGGAACTTGATGGAGTTTAGAAGGATGTGGGAGGGCGATCTGATCAAAACTTACAGAATACTAAGAAGCCTGGATAGACTGAACATGGAGAAGATGTTTGCAATAATAGGAGACATTGGACCTGATGTGAAACTTTGTTGAAAAGTATTCCTGCGAAGTGCCTTGGGATGTTTTATCACAGTAAAAGATGCACAAATACAAGTCGTCATTGGTAAAAGCACGTGAGAACACAGAAAGACTTACCATCAGCTGGACTTAAGCCTCTTGCTGCAGAGATCATGGAGAGTGTGGGGCTGCCATGCATGGTCCTCAGGTAATGCTCCATGTGGGGATTGACATAAGGATGGGGTGGACTGAAAGGAGACTCGCCCGTGGCTGCTGGATTCCGATGAGGAGACAGCCTAATGAGGGAGATGTCAGAGAAGACAGGGCTTCCAGTCAAGGCAGGAGGCCTGAGGAAAGAGAAGCACAAAATGTTTTAAAGTTCAGGCAGCCTTATATCTGCATCTCCATTGAGAAGTGGGCTACCAGTCTGAGTCTGTTGATAGGAACTGAATTTGAGGTGAACATTTATATCCAATTCTGCTCTGAGCCTGGACATACAGTCATAGGGTCATACAGCATGGAAACAGACCCTTCGATACAGCTACGCCATGCTAAACATATCCCAAACTAAACTAGTCCCTTCTGTCTGCTCCTGGTCCATATCCCTCCAAACATTTCCTATTCATGTACTTATCTAAGTGTCTTTTAAAATTGTAACTGTGCCCACATCCACCACTTCCTCAGGAAGTTCAATCCACAAGCAAACCACCTGCTGTGTAAAAAATTTGCCCATCATGTCTTTTTCAAATCTCTCTCCTCTCACCTTTAAAATATGCCCTCTAGTCTTCAAATCTCCCATTCTAGAGAAAGGACAAGTACCATTAACCCTACCTATACCCCTCATGATTTTATAAACCTCAATAAAATCACCTCTCAACCTCTCAGGCTCTAGCAAACAAGATCCCAGCTTATCCAGCATTTATTTATAACTCAAACCCTGCATACCCGACAACATCCTAGGAGACACTGGGGAGGCGATGGCCTAGTAGTATTATCACTGGACTGTTAATCCAGACACCCAGATAACATTCTGGGGACCCGGGTTCGAATCCTACCATGGCAGATGGTGGAATTTGAATTCAATAAAATATCTGGAATTAAGAATCTAATGGTGACTATGAATCTATTGTCGATGGTTGGAAAAACCCATCTGGTTCACTAATGTCCTTTAGGGAAGGAAACTGCCATCCTTACATGGTATGGCCTACATGTGACTCCAGACCCACAGCAATGTGGTTGACTCTGAACTGCCCTCTGGCCAGTGACACCCTTATCCTGTTAATGAATAAAGGAAATCTCATGTAACCACCACGTAGCATGTATGACACGAGCTGGTCAAAGTGGGAAGGAGCAAGACTCCAAGTTATAGCTCAGTTCTGAATTCAAAATAAAACGGAAGCTCAGCTGCTTCTTCCTAAGTTGACAGGAGGGTGAATTTCCACTGCGATCAAACTGAATAAATTCATACTTACATCGCGCATTTTGATTCAAAGCAGCTGGAAATCTGGGACAAAGCTCAATATTTTATCATTGCTGTCTTTCTGAGTCTAATGTGGACCTTGTGATTCCAGGACGTTCCTTGCAGCTCATTGGACAAATGCTGCAGGTTGGAAAGAGCTGACCACCATCAGCAACCCCTCCCACTCACCTACCACACTCCATGGTGAAGACCGTGTATTTCATTCCAGAAATGCACAGAAAATCTTCATAACATTTTAAGATATTGCCTTTAGGTGGAAAGAGACGGGTTCAAATATTGGCATGCTCAACACGTAGCTTCTGATTTGAATTGGACCCATGTGCAAAGTGGCCACAGAATCTCCACCCTTCCTCCCACTATTAGACAGAGGGTAAGGCCCACACTTCTTAATGCTGGCTCTAGAGATTCTGGAATTGGTAGAGTCTTTAAGCAGGTCAATTGTCCACCCGTGGATAAGATATTTTGCTAAAAGACAGGGATAACTCCAAAGGAGAAAAGGAAGAATAACAGCACAGAGAATTATCGAGGAATGGTGGTGAACATGATACTTAAGTAAAATGAAAGAGAGTGTTACACCTCGATGAAAAATTTCTTTGGATCTTGCATCAATTGAAGGGGATCTCTGGCCTGATTTTAGAGAACAACGTTATAAATTACACTGTTATTCTTGGAAGTAAAGGAAAAGACTTTAATGCCAATTTTAAACTAACATACCCAGTGGGAACAGGGAAGAATTGAGTGGGATGCCCAACTTAAACCCAACCATTCCTACCAGATGGGTTAGGTTAAAGGAAGGACTTTGCATTTAGAATCATAGAATTCCTACAGTATGGAAGCAGGCTATTCAGCCCATCAAATCCACATCAACTCCTCTGAACAGCATTCCATCCAGATCCATCCCCCACCCTTCCCTGTGACCCTGTATTTCCCATGGCTAATCCACCTAGCCTGCATATCCTTAGATGCTATGGGCAATTTAGCATGGCCAGTTCACCCAACCTGCACATCTTTGGACTGTGGGAGGAAACTGGGGCACCTAAAGGAAACCCACACGGACATAGGGAGAATGTGCAAACTCCATACAGACAGTTGCCAAAGGGTGGAATTGAACCCAGGTGCTGATGCTGTGAGGCAGCAGAGCTAATTACTGAGCCACCAAGCTCATACATTGCAATATTGCTGACATGCGGTGATTGTTGACATGTAGGTAGATACGGCAGTTATTTCGATCACAGCAGGATCTGCTTCGGTGATGGTTCTTAGGGATAAAGGGATCAAAGGGTGAAAGTGGGAAAAGGCACTGCATTGGATGATCAGTCACAATCATATTAAGTGGTGGAGCACTTGAAGGGCTCCTAGTTTTTAAAGTATTGATGATATGAAGGAGGGAAGAAAGCTCCCTGTTCTTTTATTTTTGAAAATTCTCAATGATTTGTCAGGTCAACATACAAATCATGACTTTAACATCTTATCTGAAGGATGCCATTTCTGACACTGTGACTATACGTCAATACTACATTAAGGGGTTTCTATACTGATGTTGCACTTTAATCTTCAATCTCCTGGCTCAGACTCAAAGATGTTCACTTAGCGTTCATTAACTTGCTACACAGTGCTTGGTCAGGTAGTAACAAACTGCACACTGACATGTTAACACATTTTAAATCCATGCTCATTCATCCATCAAATCCCTGTTGAAAGCTTTCTAACTGGGTATCTGTTACCACCACGGAACTAAAACGACCCTTATCAAAAAGATAGTTCAGCATAAAAATTACCCAATGTTATTGCCCCGACAGTTTGACAACACCATTTCAGGCCATTACCTGCTGAAACCTTCATCTATGTCTTTGTCACTTCCAATGCCAAGAATGTCCTCTCTGTTTCTGCCTGATGGGAACCTCAACTGATTGAAAAATATGAAGCTCCTATTCTATGCTGCACCAAGCCTTATTTGATTATTCCCTGATCCCTCCAAACCAACACCCTGGCCCTGAAAGGGCTCCAACTTAAAATGATCTTTCTTGTACTTAAATCAGTTTATTGTCTTGTCCTCTTTCTAATTTCTGTAACCTGCTTCAGTGCTGCTTGCACTCTTCCCTGAACAAACTCACCATCTTGCCTCCATTTCCCTAACCTGGTGTTTAAGGCATTCTCGCTCAATTCAATACATCACTATCAGCCTTTCCTTCAGCTACACTCTCTATAGCAAGTCCTGCCACTGCACATCCTTCTGCTCTGTGAAGTCATGCTCCTTAAAATCCAGCTCGTTGGCTGACTTCCCTGATAATTTACACCCCTCCCCCCCAACAACCCCAGATCTCCTCCTTTGGCCCACTGTCCATAATGGCCATCCGACTCTGTCTTGGGATTTCCATCTCTGCATCTACGGTGCTGCAGAAATTCCGCACTTTTTTTATATCATTGCTGTCGCATTTTCAGAAGAAAACAGGACAAAAATCCGAAAGCAGGACCTTAAAATAAACAAAAGTTTTCAGCACCCCATGTTGCTCAGGCTGTCGCTGATGTGTGGCAAACACAGGGTCTGAAAAGTTCAGCTGAACTAGTGCACCAAAACACCTCACTTATCAACGTGACAAGAAGGATTTCAAAAGCAACAGGTAGCAGAATCACTTAAATTCACCGCTCGACCATGCAGAAAGACACACACTACCTCTGCAGCTAATGGAACCTGATCGAAATGATCAGACAGCTTTATCCTTTCCTTGGGTTAATATTCGTATTTCTTGCGTGATGTGTATTTGAGTTTCCCTTGAGAAAGCAATTCACAGTTAATAGATTGGAATAGCTTCCTGCCTGCTTTTGCAACAGTGCTTCTTAACTTGGATATCATGTTTATTTGAACCAAGATACCCATGGTCCGAAATAAGAATAACAAAGCTGAAAGTTACTGCCCTTGAATTACACTGATGCACAACTTTAAAGAGGTTACAAACGTTTCACAAACTTGGAACAAATATGCATTTACATAGCAGCTTTCACATCCTGAAGATCTGTCAAAATACTTGACAGCCAATGAACTACTCTTGGACCACAGTCATCGTTGAAAGGCAGACCTACACAATGGTCAGTTTATGCACAGCAAGGTTCAAAAAGCATGAATGAGATAAATAATTGAGTTTGGTGCTGTTGGTTCAAGGGTAAATGTTGACCAGTACACTAGGAGAAATCTTAGCTCCACTTTAAACAGTGCCACAATCTCTTATTTCCACCTGAACTCAGAGAGACTGGAACTCAGTGTAATGCCTCATTGATAAGAAGGCACCTCCAACAGTGAAGAACCCTCTCAACTCTACAATTAAATAGCCTGGATTTGTGTCGAAGACTCTGGGTTGCAAACTGAACCCACAATCTCCTGACTGAGAGGTGAGAGTTCCCATGTTTTATTAAAGACTTTTCTCCAATGTTAGGTTTTCAAGGAGCAGTGCTACATCCTCCACCCAGTGCTACTCTCAGCCGTTAAAACTTCCAACTGGCACTGTGAGCCATTAGGCGAATGTGGAGCTGGTTAAAAAAAAAATCACCTGGAGCTGATGCCAAGTCCCAGCTACAACGGCCTTTTTTCTGGGACCAAAGCAAGATGGAAAACAGCAGGTTTAAATAAGCTGGCGATGAGATGGCTCTGTGCTGACTTTGGTCTTCAGGTTCAAATGGAAAAGTATCATTAGTCACAGGTAGCTGTGGTTGTTCAAATAAATGAGAACACCCTTTTTGCTTCAGCCTTTGCATTTGAATCAGGCTCCATATACATCATGTTACCTGACCAATTGTTCAGTTGTGATTCTAAATTGCCACTTATAAATTCCAACCTCTTCCCTCCACCATGCCTCCCCCACTTTAAAATGT